ATCCCAGCTACTTGGGAGGCTGAGGCACAAGAATTGCTTGAACTCAGGAGGCGGAGGTTGCAGTGAGCCGAGATCAGGCCACTGTACTCCAGCCTGGGGGACAGAGCAAGACTCTGTCTCAAAAAAGAAAGAAAAGAAAATGTACTTACTGAATGGCAAGACCTCCCACTAGCCCCCTTCTCCTTCCATGTTCCCAATGTGTTGGAAGCTAGACTTATACCACCCAAGTAAAATTGTAGAAGATTAGTCTTCAGGGAAATTGACTAGCCCATGAGAAAAAACCCACACTCCCAGTTAAAAAGTCCCTTGATGAAACAAGGCTCCAACCAATTACCTGACAGTAGAGCTCCCACCAATAAGATTTAACACACCAAAAAGCTTCCAATTGGACTTAACGAGTGCTTACTCTCATTCTAAAATATGAATAGACATCCAAGAAATCAAGGGACATTTAAGAGCTGGACATAGTAGCACATGCCTGTAGTCCTAGCTACTCGAAAGTATGAGGCAGAAGGACCACTTGAACCCTGGAGTTCAAGTCCAGCCTGGGCAACATAATGACACCCCTATCTCTTTTTAAAAAAAGATATTTAAGGAAGATTATTATTAGATTATTAATCTTAGATTAATAGTAAAGCAATATTAAAACAAGAAGGAAAGAACGAACAAAAAAAAGAAAGAACAAACTAAAGAAGTAGAGATAATGCATGATACATGATACAGAAGAATTATTGTAATATCCTCCAAGATATGAGGGTTAATTTGCATTCATGAAATTTGAATAGGAAACTATATAAAGAACATTCAAAAGAAAGAAAAAGGTTGAAGTTCTTGGAAATTAAAAATAGAATAGCAGAAGTGAAAAATTTCAATTAAGAAAATCTCTCAGAACATTGGAAAAAGAGAAAACAGCATTAGAAAAAATGAGAAAATCAGTCCAACATTCCAAATAGTAAGCATTCTAAAAGGTGAACAAGAAAACAAATGAAGGCAGGAAATTATCAAAGAAATAGTCCCAGAAGATTTCCCAGAATTCACATACGTGAGTTTGTAGGTTTAAAGTATCCATTGAATGTCCAGCACAATGACTGATAAAAGACCCATACCCACACATGGCACATTACTATAACATTTCAGAACATCAGGGATAAGATGCTAAAAGTTTCCAATAAGGAAAAAAATTGACTTTTCTGCATGCAAAAAGGAAACATAAGACTTCTCAAGTACAGCACTGAAAGCCAGAAAATAATGTTAACAGTGCCTCAGAAAAAATGATTTCCAACCTACCCAGCCAAACTGCAAAGTATAAAAGAAAAGACACTTTCCAGTTACCAAGCCTCAAAAAATGTACTTATGCATTCTTCCTTAGGAAGCTATTGAAGGATATACCCCACCAAGATGAGGGAGTATACATAATAAGTAGGAAAACAGGCAGCTCACACCTATAATCCCAGGACTTTGGGAGACCAAGGCAGAAGGATCACTTGAGCCCAGGAGTTCAAGATCAGCCTGGGCAACATAGGGAGATCCTATCTCTACAAAAAAAAATTTTTTTTTTAATTAGTCAGATGTGGCATGTGCCTGTAGTCCCAGCTACTCAGGAGGCTGAAGCAGGAGGATCGCTTGAGCCCAGAAGGTTGCTACACTCCAGCCTGGGTGACAGAGCAAGACCTTGTCTCAAAAAAAAAAAAAAAGGAAAACATAAGATCCAGGAAACAGAATATCCAAAAAGGAGACAGACAAAGGGACTTCCTCCCTAGGATGGTGGTGAAAAATAACTCTGGGTCAATAACTATGCACTGAAACCATTCCAGGTGGATAGATCTCTTCAAGAAAACAAAAAGTGAAATATATAGAAGTCCTGTGTGTTTGATCATGGATCTTGCAAGGAACTAGAGAAATAACAACACTTTACATATGTTGAGTTGTTACTATGCTCCTGATACCACTCTAAAGTCTTTATGTGTATTATTTCATTTAACACTATGAAGTGGATACTATCATTACCCCCATTCCCAGATAAGGGAATTGAGGCATCTTAAAAATTGAATAATATGCCCAGGATTACACAGTTAGAATGGTGTCAGTGAATTCACTGGACTGTCAGGAAGGTGTGAAACCTCAGCAGAGGAAAAGCCTACTACTATAAGCCAGGACATCACTGGAGGTGGGTGAGGGAAATGAGTAAAGACTGGGCTTGCCCAGGACATCTGGGCCCCTACACAGACTGATCTTTTATTGTGAATATAGGTTTATAGAATATATATTTTCTTTTACTATACTTCTTTCCTTTTTTTTTTTTTTTTTTTTAAGACAGAGTTTTGTTTTGCTCTCATCACCCAGGCTGGCGTGCAATGGCATGATCTCAGCTCACTGCAACCTCTGCCCCCAGTATGCAAGCAATTCTCTGGCCCCAGCCTCCCAAATACCTGGGATTACGGGCACGCACCAACACTACCACGCCTGGCTAATGTTTGTATTTTTAGTAAAGACAGGGTTTCGCCATATTGGCCAGGCTGGTCTTGAATTCCTGACCTCAAGTGATCCTCCCACCTTGGCCTCCCAAAGTGCTGGGATTACAAGCATGAGCCACCACGCCTGGCCCTATTTTCTTTTATTATACTTTGTAATATAGTATGGCAAAGAGTATCTTTCCTGTATTTTTAGATATGCCCAGGAATTCTGGGAAACAGAGATATGCAAATCTAGCAAAATTATATCATTATTAAAAGCAAATACAGGCTAGGCATGGTGGCTCACTCTTGTAATCCTAAAGCTTTGGGAGCCCACAGCAGGAAGATCACTTGAGCCCAGAAGTTCAAGACCAGCCTGGGCAATGTAGGGAAATTCTCTACAAAAAATTTAAAGATTAGCCAGGCAGGGTGGCTTGCACCTGTGGTCCCAGCTACTCAGGAGGCGGAGGCAGAAGGTGAGTAGTGAGTGCTGTAGTGAGCCTTGCACCCCTGTACTCCAGCCTGGGAGACCGTGAGACCCTGTCTCTAAAATAATAATAATAATAAATAGCAGGCTGGGCACGGTGGCTCACGCCTGTAATCTCAGCACTTTGGGAGGCCGAGGTGGATGGATCACCTGAGGTTGGGAGTTCAAGACCAGCCTGACCAACATGGAGAAGCCCCGTCTCTACTAGAAATACAAAATTAGCCAGGCATGGTGGTGCATGCCTTTAATCCCAGCTATTCGGGAAGCTGAGGCAGGAGAATCGCTTGAACCCAGGAGGTGGAGGTTGCAGTGAGCCAAGATCGTGCCACTGCACTCCAGCGTAGGCAACAAGGGCAAAACTCTGTCTCAAATAATAATAATAATAACAGCAAATACAAACACAAGCCACTAGTTTTTGTATGTAATATACATGAAACAATTAGTTATAAAATATAATGTGACATAAATTGTTAAGCAAAGATTAGAATTTCAAGGAAGAAAGGAAACTATAGACTAGAGCAAAAGTTCTCAAACTTGCACTGTGTCAGAATCAGCTGGAGTGATTGTCAAAACACATTGCTAGGCTACAGGATTTCTAAGTTAATAGGTGTGTAGTCAGGGCCAAGAATTTGTATTTCCCACAATTTGTATTTTCCCAGTGGTGCTGAAGACCACACTCAGAGTCATAGAGTATATAGAGAATACTCTGAGGGAAAGAAAAACTGAGCCTTGAAGGACCGGGTGGGAATTAAGTTACATTAAGAAAAACTAGCCTTATGCTATTTTCAGAGGCAAGTGATGACATTGTGGATGGTTGAGTTCAAGGCTAGGGAAGAAAGTATCTGATCATAAGTCAGACTCTAATCAGAACACCATAGGCACATTTCCTACCAACCACTGCTTCAGCCCCAACATTTAGAATGAGTCCTTTCCCTCTTCCTGAGAGGAAAGGAAAGGTTGCCTGTCACCATCCCAGAGAGTAGCGAAGCCTCCCATTGCTGTAACAGGAAGAAATCTACCTACATATTTATGAGAAGCAAGGTCCTACACCTTTTCCTCTGAGACAGCATAAAGTGATGCTCTTCTACTAAGAACACTGAGATGTGAGAGGTTCCACTATCAAAGCAGTGAGAAGCAAGTCCTTCCACCTCAGCAGCAGTAAGCAGATCAGATCCCTGCCATAGCTGCAGAGAGAAGTTCACTGTTCTGGCAGCAAGGAGGAAGCTGATCACTTACCACCACAGTCACTGATATTTGAGGCATGCATGTTTGTAAGTCAGATGTTTATACCATGGATCAGAGTCCTTTATCATATACAGCCTGCCAGCTGTACTAATTCTCAAAGAATGTGTAACCTAAAATGCCCAGTAACACATCTAAGTCTGTTCTTACACATACACTCCAAAAAAAAAAGATAAGAAAGAAAAGCAATCAATAGTGATTTACTCCAGATCATAAGCTTACTGGTAGTATTTTCTTTTCTTTTTTATACTTTTCTATGTTTTCCAATTTTCTGCAATGAGAATTTCTTTTAACTTAAAACAAAATTTGCATTTTTAAACCTAACACAAATAATCATTAATGTTTGTATTCAAGTTGGTACTACTTAAGGGTTTGTCAAGGATCATAATTCATAAGTATTTTTCTAAACAAAACAGGGAGGTCAGAGCTGGACATGATAGCAGGTACCTATAGTCCAGCTACTCAGGAGGCTTAGGAGGGAGGAGAATTTGAGCCCAGGAGTTCCAGTCCAGCCTGGCAAAATAACAAGACCTCATCTCTCTCTGAAAAAAACAAAAACAAAAACTCTGGGAAGGCTTGGGTAAAAAAGGGAGACCAAAAGCCAAGGAATACAGATATAAATAGTCAAATGGCCTGTGGAAGGTATCAGTAGATATTCTATAAATATCACAGAAATAGACACTCAAATATTATTGAATGAATATGCAAATTAGATTTAAAGTAAGTTTCTTCAGCATATGTAACTAGCAACTTGACTTTTTAAAATGTTTATCCTATATCTCTTTGTATCCATTTCTGAATTACTTTTTTTTTTAAAGCTATTTCCAAAGAAAATTCCAGCATACTGGCCCAGGAATGTTGTGGAGTCCCTACACTATGGGCTATGGAAAAAGGACACTTAAGCCAGACATATGCACACCTCCAAGCTCAAGCATGGCTGCCTTTGCTAATGCTGCCCGGATTGCAATAATGAAAGAAAAGGATTTATTTAAATTTCTTGAAGAGCTCAAGAGTAAGAGCCATTTGTTCTCTCTCTACCGTTGTAAAGGATGTATTTTTATATGACTGGTCAGAAAGAAGTACTAGAGCCCAAATGCCTTAAGAACAGAACCACAGCCTATTCTGAGTGACCACTCTGTGTCACATAGATGTCATTTGAAAGCAAATGTAGATGTAACCTGAATCCTCAGATGCCTGATGAAGTCTAGAGTCTGTGAATGGGTTGGGAGTGGAAGCATGAGAGTGAAGAATGAGGGCCATGGCCACTGAGAAGAATAGACAAAGCAAAACAGGCACCACATGCTGGTCTTTCATGTGAATTTCTTACATTGTTTGTGATACCATTTTTGTTTTTATCTTTTTAGGATGCAATTCCCATTCAGATAGCCCATATTCAAAAATACCCATCTTTCCATTGTTCCCTAATGTGGATGGGGTGGTGATGGGAAAGCCATTCAAAGACATGCAGAAATTAGAGATGCTAAGAAGAAAGGAGCCTTTGAATTTCTTTGAGGATTATTTTTTCCATAAAAGAGACTGGAAAACACAGGTGAGATTTAGATTATGTCACATTAGTTAAATACTTGGATTTTTAAGCACTAACTTAAAAGAACTAATAACATGCTTTTTACAACAAATAGTTTTAGTCATTATTTTCAAACCAGATGCCATAGCCATGTGCCCAAATTTAAGACCAGGTGTTAACATTTCATTTAATTTCAACAAATAAACTTACTAAAAAATACAGGTTTGGGGTTGGGGATGGGGAATATAGGAATAATAACAATAAAAGTTTCTCCAATCCTATCTCTGAATGCTCCCCCAACCACTCAGGGACCAGCACTGCACTCTGGACACCCTCCATCCACTCTAGATTGTGGTTGGGCAAACACCATGAGATGAGAAGACCAGGCCCACAACCCAAAAGAGCAGTGCTGTGATGGAGGGGCCATCCTGCCCTCAACTAGATCCCCATCTATGGTCCCAGCTGCACCTTCTGGCCTTGCTTCAAGTTCTGTTGACTCTAGTCTTTTTGCACCCCCTCCCAAGATATACTTTTGTCATCATAAGTTTTAAGGTCTCTAGCAACTATGCCCAAGTTTCTGGATAATCCTCAGGAGACTCTGGCCTTACCCCAGATAAGGCCTCTAGGCCTGAGAAACAGAATGGAAATTTAACTGGAGGCCAGCCTACCCTGTGGAGCTCTGGGTTCCAGAGGCCCATGTGTTGTTCACATCACTATACAATTCCTAGAAGGCCCCTCCACACATAGAGTTTAAGAGGCCCAGCAGGGTATCACTGTCACAAATGACCTCAAGTTCAGACTTTGTCTTTCTCCAAATGAAGTAACACCCACAGGAAAATATCACTGAGAAGATGGAAATAAGAGGACATTTATCCTCCTTTAAACTTATGTCCCAACATTCAACTACTCCTCCACCCCACGTGCTTGTCTGTTTATTGTCAATCTCTCCAACTAGAATATAACATTCATGTACACAAGGGTTGTATTTCTTTCACTGAGGTATCCCTATCATCTAAAATAGAATTTGGCCCATAGGTAACTCAATATTTTTTAGAAGGAAGAATACTGTAATACAAATACTTTATTTCCTGAGAGCATACTATATGCTAGATTGTCTGTAACATAATCTCAGCAGAAATAATGTCAATAGCTTCCTAAATGGTCCCCTTGCTACTACTATTGTCCCCTTCAATCAATTGTCAACCCAGCAGCCAAAGTGGTTCTGTTAAAATCAGATTGAACCCTCCAATGGCTTTTCATATCACACAGAATGAAAACCAAAATTTTTATAACTTACAATGTCCCACACAATCAAAACCTGAGCCTTCCAATAATTGTAGCACTAGTAACTGTTTAAATTTCAATTAATTAAAATTAAATAAAATTACAAATTCAGTTCCTCAGTCACACCAGTCACACTGCAAATGCTCAATAGCCATATGTGGCTAATGGCTACTATACTGGATGACACAGAAATATAGAAAATTTCCATTATTGAGGAAAATGTTATTGGCCATCACTGATCTAGGCTCTCATTGCCTATCCAACAATCTCATCTTCCACTGCTCACCGTCCAGTGCATTCCACTCCATCCTCAAGGCCTCTTTACTCTTCCTCTTGCAGACCAGACATGCTCTCGCCTCATGGTCTATGGCTTTGCTATTTCTTCTGCTCTAATGTTGTTCCTCAGAGAGCTGCATCATAGCTTTCCCATCACCTCTTTCAGGTATTGTCTCAAATATCACTTCAGGAGGCCTAACAACCCCATTAAAATCACAATCCCCACATTGTCATTGTACTAAATGCCACTGAATTGTTCACTTCACTTGGTTCATTTTATGTTACATGAATTTTCACTTAAAAAAAATTTTTTTTGAATCAGAGTCTTGCTCTGTTGCCCAGGCTGGAATACAGTGGCGTGATCTTGGCTCACTACAACCTCTGCCTCCCAGGTTCAAGCAATTCTTCTGCCTCAGCCTCCAGAATTGCTGGGACCACAGGCATGCACCACCACACCCGGCTAATTTTTGTATTCTTAGTAGAGACAGGGTATCACCATGTTGGTCAGGCTGGTCTCAAACTCCTGACCTTAGGTGATCAGGCTCCCAAAGTGCTGGAATTACAGACATCAGCCACCATGCCTGACCAATAAATTATTTTTTTAAATAAGTATTTAAATAGCTGGGTGCAATGGTACATACGTCTAATCCCAGCTGATCAGAAGACTGAGGCAGGAGGATCACTTGAGCCCAGGAGTTCAAGACTGTAATGTGCGATGATCACGCCTGTGAATGCACTGTACTCTAGCCTGGGCAACATAGTGAGGCTCCATCTCTAAAAATAAATTTTTTTAATTAAAAATAAATTTAAAATAAAAATGTTTGAACAATAAATATATATGTATTCAAATAAAATCACAACCCCCAATACCTTATCCCCTTTCCTGATTTTTTTCATAACACTTGTTACCATCTAATGTATTACATATTTACTAGTATATTATATCTAATACACTACATATTTATATTTATTATACTACATGCATACATATGTATATTTACATCTCTATCTACTGTATATGTACTATATTTACAACTATATTACATTTAATGCTATTTCTATTAAACTATATGTTTATAATTATATACATATATAGTATATCTAATATACTATGTAGAATATTACATCTAATCTAATATAATTATGTATTTATAAATGTTCATTAGAGGCTGGGCGCAGTGGCTCACGCCTGTAATCCCAGCACTTTGGGAGGCCGAAGCGGGTGGATCACCTGAGGTCGAGAGTTCAAGACCAGCCTGACCAACATGGAGAAACTCCACCTCTACTAAAAATACAAAATTAGCCAGGTGTGGTGGCACATGCCTGTAAGCCCAGCTACTCAGGAGGCTGAAGCAGGAGAATCACTTGAACCCGGGAGGCGGAGCTTGTGGTGAGCCAAGATTGCACCATTGCACTCCAGCCTGGGCAATAAGAGCAAAACTCCATCTCAAAATAAAATAAAATAAATGTTCATTAGAACCAAGAAATAGGCTAGGCACAGGTTCCTCATGCCTGTAATCCCAGCACTTTGGGAGGCTGAGGCGGCTGGATTACTTGAGCTCAGGAGTTTGAGACCAACCTGAGCAACATGGTGAAACCCCGTCTCTACAAAAAAGAAAAGAAAGAAAGAAATGGTACTTTCAAGTTTCTGAAAGTAACTGAGTTCCATGAACACTACCTGACCCCACACACAGACTCCCTATGACCACATTAAAATATTGGATAGGGCTGGGTATGGTAGCTCATGCCTGTAATCCCAACACTTTAGGAGGCCAAGGAAGGTGGATTGCTTAAGCCGAGGAGTTCGAGACCAGCCTGGGCAACATGGTAAAATTCTGTTTCTACAAAATATAAATATATATATATATATATATATATATATATATATATATATATATATGAATACTGGATGAAATAAAATGATAAACACTGAAAAATGTATTCAAAAGAAAGGAAAACCCATGTTTCAGAAAGCGAGAGAGAGAGTGCCTAAAGCCAGAATAACAAGTTCATAAAATGAACTTGGCGGAGGGGTGGTAGGTAGATCCTATACATCTAGGCCCTGATGGGTTGGGATTGGGGTTTCAATGCCCATTCAGGGTCAGGAGATGTGGATCCCTGGAAGTAAGCAACTGGAATTGAAACCAGAATCTGGAAGGATTGCCCTCTCAGTAAAAGAAGGGGTAAGAAACTCAGTCCATAGTGAAGCTTGGCCTGCTCAAAGCTCTGAATAGAGAAGAAAGTATTCTGTGAAGAATTTAAAACAAGATTGTAGGATGCATGGATTCAGAATCTGAATTTATAGTTTCCACATTGGATGAAATCGCCAAACAGTAAAATTACCCTTAAAACTGGTTTTAGATTGGTATTACCTTGGGAGGTCTGCCAGACACAAACATAAACACATCCATATCCTAGGTTTGCACAGCTTATATAAAAAATATTTTCAAATCTATTTTAAAGAGGTTCACAAAAATTACAAGCCATCAAGGAAATAATCTACTCTCAAAAAAAGTCAGTAGGTAAACAAGAGGAGTATCATAATAATTTGATATAGCACAATGATCTTTAAAAGACTGTAAAAAATGTTTTAAACTATTAAAGAGAAATGTTTAGTAATGACTGAGTATTTTTAGGAATGACTGAGAATTTTTCTAAGTTGATAAAAGATATGAATTCTTAAATTGAAGAAAACATCCTGGAGCAACATATATAAAAGAAAATCCAACTTGAAACATTGCAGTTGAAAATGAAGACAAAGAAAACACTTCAAAAGCAACCAGAGGCCAGGCACAGTGGCTCACGTCTATAATCCCAGCACTTTGGGAGGCCAAGGCAGGTGGATTGCTTGAGGTCAGGAGTTCAAGACCAGCCTGGCCAACATGATGAAACCTGTCTGTACTAAATACAAAAATTAGTTGGGTGTGATGGCACATGCCTGTAATCCCAGCTACTTGGGAGGCTGAGGCAAGATAATCTCTTAAACCCAGAAGGCAGAGGTTGCAGTGAGCCGAGATTGCACCACTGCACTCCAGCCTGGGCCACCAAGCATGATTCTGTCTTGAAAGAAAGAAGAAAGAAAGAAAAAGAGAGAGAGAGAAAGGAGGGGAGGGGAGGGGAGGGAACCAGAGAGAAAAAAGAAATAACTTACAAAGGAACAAAAACTAGACTAACAGGAGACTTCATGCATGCAAAAATACAGGCCAGAAGACAGTCAAATAATATCCATAGATTGAGGACAGCAAATTATTTCCAGCTAAACTATCATTCAAGAGAGAGAGTAAATAAAAATACTTTCAAGGCCGGGCATGGTGGCTCACACCTTTAATCCCAGCACTTTGGGAGGCCAAGGCAGGCGGATCACCTGAGTTCAGGAGTTCAAGACCAGCCTGGCCAACATGGTGAAACCCTGTCTCTACTAAAAATACAAAATGTAGCCAGGCATGGTGGTGTGAGTCTGTAATCCCAGCTACTAGGGAGGCTGAGGCAGGAGAATTGCTTGAACCTGGGAGGCTAAGGTTGCAGTGAGCCGAGATCCCACCACTGCACTCCAGCAAAACTCTGTCTCAAAAAAAAAAAAAAAAAAAAAGTTTGACATTATAAGGGTGGTGTTCTTTCTTGCTTGTCTATAACTTTAATGTGGTTTTTCAAATTTTCCCCAAGGGTTTTTTGTTGCTGTTGTTGTTGTTGTTGTTGTTGTTGAGACAGGGTCTCAACTTTGTCACCCAGGCTGGAGTGCAGTGATGTGATCTCAGCTCACTGCAGCCTCTGTCTCCCAGGCTTAAGCAATCCTCCCACTTCAGCCTCTCTAGTAGCTGGGACTACAGACACATGCCACCACGCCCATCTAGTTTTTGTATTTTTAGTAGAGATGGGGTTTTGCCATGTTGGCTGGTCTTGAACTCCTGGGCTCAAGCAATCCACCCACCTCGGCCTCCCAAAGTGCTGGAATCACAGGCATGAGCCACTTTCATGACTCTGTCTCAAAAAAAAAAAAAAAAAAAAAGTCTCAATCATTAAAACAGTGTGATATTGATGGGCAGGGCCCGGTGGCTCATACCAGTAATCCCAGCACTTTGGGAGGCCATGGCGGGTGGATCACGAGGTCAAGAGATCGAGACCATCCTGATCAACATGGTGGAACCCCATCTCTACTAACAATACAAAAAATTAGCCGGGTGTGGTGGCGGGCACCTGTAGTCCCAGGTACTCGGGAGGCTGAGGCAGGAGAATCACTTGAACCCGGGAGGCGGAGGTTGCAATGAGCTGAGATTGCGCCACTGCACTCCAACCTGGGGGACAGAGTGAGACTCCGTCTCCAAAAAAAAAAAAAAAAAAGTGTGCTATTAAGAAATTAACAGAGACGGGTGGATCACGAGGTCAGGAGATCGAGACCATCCTGGCTAACATGGTGAAACGCCGTCTCTACTAAAACATACAAAAAACTAGCCGGGCGAGGTGGCAGGCGCCTGTAGTCCCAGCTACGCGGGAGGCTGAGCCAGGAGAATGGCGTGAACCTGGGAGGCGGAGCTTGCAGTGAGCTGAGATCGGGCCACTGCACTCTAGCCTGGGTGACAAAGCAAGACTCCGTCTCAAAAAAAAAAAAAAAAAAAGAAATTAACAGACAGACCCAAGGAAGAAAATAGAAAGTCCAAAAATAAATAGAGCTATGTGGAGAATTTTAACTTAAGGAAAACATGACATTTCAACACAACAGGAAAATGATAGATTATTCAACAAATAGTGCACTGAGTAGGCATCTGAGGAAAAAAATGAGATTTACACTTTATGTACAAATTGCAAATGGATGAAATGTAAAAGAAATAAATGGAGGGTCAGAGAGAAAGAAAAAGAAACCTTAAACATACTGAAATAAACTCTGGGAAGGCATCCCTAACTGTGATACAAAAGCCAAATGCATTTTTTAATAAAAAGATATTATTAATTCCACTGCTTCAAGATCAAAAATCTCCATATGGCCAAAAAAAATCACAGTTGCCACTCATAACACAAAAAGCTAACTTGAAAGAACTTCAAATTCATTAGAAAAAAACTAACCTATATAAAAATGGGCAAAGGGTATGAACAGACAGTTCTGAGAAACATGAAAAAATATTCAACTTCATTCCTCATAAAAGATCCAAGTTGAAATTCTCCTCAGGTATTTATCTTTTCACATTAGATTGACCAAGATGAAAAAACATGGTATACTCATAAGTTACAGGTAGGTTTGTAAATTGGTTCACCCTGTACAGAGGAAATTTGGCAATAATTACCAAAAGGACAGACCTCACACCTTTTGACCTAACATTTCCAGTCCTAGGGCACCATCTAGGATATACAGATATTTTTGCACATATGGCAAATGCCACTCGTGAGGAACCCAGAAAAAGTCTAAACAAACAAACAAATGGTTTGGCAATAATCTTATAAATTATATACAAATCCTTCCATAATAAAATATACTTATTTATTATGTCTTTTTGTTGTATAATTCAAACTAAAATGTATTACTAACCTTCTTTTTTAAATATGCATAAAGGCAGCAAATATAAAGTCTATGGACCCTGCCTCAGGTTATTCAAATAACATCACCATTGATCAAATACTCAAGAAAAAGCAGACTTGTACAGTGGCTGATGAAACTGCTATTAAACAACACGTGAGTATTCCCTGTGGAGTGCCTTCCCAGAAATCACTGACAAAAATATTGTCCACTTCAATACTACACCATAAAACCAAGGTAATTTTTATCTGCTCTATGTCTTTAAAATGAGACAAGATTGTTTCTCATGTTTACCCATTGTGATAACACCATTTCTTTCTCTATAATCAAATAGATTCAAATGTTAAGTGTTATTATTCATCCTGCTATTCACCTATGCAGCTATACTCACTATTATTTCTGGGACATTCATTTATGTTATTCCAGAAATATCAAACTAATTAAGGTAGTTGACCAACAGTCACAGTGAGTAGTGTACTCAGAGATTCATAGTGAAAGAATCTTACATCCTGAGGCCTCTAGCCCTGGGGTACCAGCTGCACCCGGGCTAAGAAGCTTGAGAAGATCAATAGTTTGGTATCAATACACTGGAAATCTTGGCATTAGGTAAAGAACAGCTAGGGCAAGCATTCTTTGGGCTATCTCAATCTATCCTCCTTGGTTCAGCTGCCACCTATGTACTGATTGCTATTAAAGTTGTCACTAACCTAACTTCATTCCTCTATTTCTGTCTTATCTCACTGACCACTTGATGAATATTTCTACCTCTACCTAGGGTCTCATAACAAACTCAACATGTCCAAAACAAAACTCATCATCTTCTGCATCCAACTGGCTCTCCCCTGGGAATTCTGTATCGCAGGTGTTTTGTGTGTGTGTGTGTGTGTGCATGTGTGTGTGTGTGTGTGTTTTCAAATAAGGTCAACTTTTATTTTAGATCCATGGGGTACATGTGCAGGTTTGTTGCAAGAGTATATTGCATATGTCTCAGTTGATAGCAACTACTCAGTCACTGAAGCTAGAAGGCTGGGAGCTATCCTTAACTTGGGTTTTTTCCTCATTCTTCACATCTGCTAATCCCCAAGTCTGGCCTATTGTCATTCTCTTAAAGATTTTTCAGGGCCAGGCATGGTGGCTCACACCTGTAATCCCAGCACTTTGGGAGGCCAAGACAGGCGAATCACCTGAGGTCAGGAGTTTGAGACCAGCCTGGCCAACATGGTGAAACCCTATCTCTACTAAAAATACAAAAATTAACCAGGCGTGGTGGTGGGGTGCCTGTAATCCCAGCTACTCGGGAGGCTGAGGCAGGAGAATCCCTTGAACCCAGGAGGCAGAGGTTGTGATGAGCCAAGATCGCACTACTGCACTCCAGCTTAGGCGACAGGGCAAGACTCCGTCTCAAAAAAAAAAAAAAAAAAAAAAAAAAAAACATTTTTCAAATCTGTCCCCTTCACTCCATCCCCATTACCACTGCCTTAGATGAGGCAGTCGCCAACCTGGTATCCTCCAACCATTCTCTACACAGCTGCTAATAATCCAACATGAAGAGCCAACCATGGCACTGTCTTGCTTAAAAGTAAACACATCCCTCTCAATTATGGCAATTTCAACTCTATTTTCTGATTAAGGGATTTGTTTCACTTTCATTAGAAACAGTGGCTCACTACAGCAAGATTTTCACTGAGGAACAGTGTCTTGCTAGCCTCACAGAGATTACTGACTTACAAGATTAAGTGTAAGGGCCTGCCTGTCCTTTATCATTATTTATTCCTCTGACTTTAAACTTGACACTCCAGCAACACCAAGTGCCTGAACCCTCCTACCACACCTCCAGGATATTTACTGCCTTGGGGGTCTCTGTTTATGCTGTCCCTTCTCCCTGGAACACCTTCCCCTCACCACTCACTCCCTCAATTTGATTACATCCTTGAGGATCTACTCAGCTCAGCATCATCTCCCAGTCAGTTCTCCCTATCCTAGGCTGAATTGAGTGACTGAATTGGCACTCCTGTTATATCCATAGCCTATCTCCATCCCATACTTCAGCCTATTTTAGTCCACTGTATTTTTCATATCCTTATAAAATTTCTTATTACCTCATTATTCCCAAGCAGTACATTTTGATTTTCCATCAACTCCTAGCTCACATTTCCTCACGAGGCACCACCCAATGTATAGACTCTGACTTTCAAGTAGCCTAGGAACATAACTCTTGGGGTATCTATCATTGTGGTCCACAAATCAAAGCTACTTTAAGGTAACTACAATAAACTTCTGGTCTCTCACTACAGGTGAAGAGAGCTACTGATACCTATAATTTTGGAATTGCCCTTGAACACCGGAAAGAAATGCTAAACCTCTGGCAGAAGATCCGAGGGGATTTGATTGGGATAGACTCTAGAAATGAGTCCTTTTATGACACCTTTTCTACTTATACATGGTCCTGGAATGTTTGCCAAGAACTACTTTCTCCTAAGGACTTAAGGTTATATGATGCCTATGTGAATAGAAATTCCTCCCATAACTCCAGATCCTTTTCCTCATCAGATACCAGTGAATGTGACACAGACTCAGGAAGAAAAAGAAAACGGAAAGGTTTAAAGGGATTTCAGTAATGAAATTTCTACATTTTCTAAACAGCTCATCACAAACTACTTTTTCATAGTTATCAAAATTATGGTTTCTTGCTTTTGTCTAAGTACATTCTTAGAAGCTGGAAATTTTGACATCTTTTGGATTCTGACCAGTAAAAACGTTTAAGTCATAAAATGGTTTCCCTTTCATTAAATTTTTTGTTTGTTTGTTTATGTTTTGAGATGGAGTCTTCCTCTGTCACCAGGCTGGAATGCAGTGGCATGATCTTGGCTCACTGTAACCTCCGCCTCCTGGGTTCAAGCCATTCTCTTGGATCAGCCTCCCAAGTAGCTGGGATTACAGGTGCCCACCACCACACCCAGCTAATTTTTGTATTTTTAGTAGAGACGGGGTTTCACCATGTTGGTCAGGATGGTCTGGATCTCCTGACCTCGTGATCTGCCCACCTCGGACTCCCAAAGTGCTGGGATTATAGGTGTGAGCCACCACGCCCGGCCCCCTTTCCTAAATCTTTACCAGTAAATAGATGCTGGGCTCTTCGTTCCCTAGCAATCAGCTATGCTCTGCTGCCCCTACCTGGCTTAAGACTGCCTAAGCCTCAGCAGGAAGGAGAAAAGTTGACCTGAGCTAAGGGCTCTCCACGCAATAAACCTGAGTTTATGGTGAGTGTAAACTGGATTAGGTTTTCAATTGTTTGTGAAAGACACTAGAGACAGCAGAAGAGGATGACCTTTCAGTTTCAGGGAATAAGATCAGCAAGCCCTAAAGAACCTTGATTAAATTTGGGTATTCCTAAGGCTCCTTAGCTACAACCTGCATACCTGGATTGCTCTTACAAATAGCTGAACACGGCCAGGTGCGATGATTTATGCCTGTAATCCCAACACTTCGGGAGGCTGAGGCAGGCGGATCACCTGAGGTCAGGAGTTCGAGGCCAGCCTGGCCAACATGATGAAACCCTGTCTCTACCAAAAATACAAAAATTAGCTGGGCGTGATGGCACACGCCCATAATCCCTGCTACTCTGGAGGCTGAAGTGGGAGAATCACTGGAACCTGGGAGGAGGAGCTTGCAGTGAGCTGAGATTATGCCACTGCACTCCAGCCTGGGTGACAGAGCAAGACTCTGTCTCAAAACAAAACAAACAAAAAACGAATAGCTGATCACATCAATTGTATTTATTGTTGCTGTTCTTTAATGCATTTACTAAAGCAGCACATATATAACTATATTACAAGTTTGGGGATTATAATTGTTTATTATGGTAAAATATACATTCCATAAAATTTGCCCTTTCAATCATGTTTAAGTATGTATCATCCATTACTGGTTTTTTGTTTTGTTTTTGTTTTTGTTTTGGTGTGTGTGTTTGTTTACAGACAGGGTCTCACTCTGTCACCCAGGCTGGTGTGCAGTGACACAATCATGGCTTGCTGCAGCCTCAACCTCCTGGGCTCAAGGAATCCTCCCACCTCAGCTTCTCACGTAGTTGGAACTACAGGCATGCCCCACCATGCCTGGCTAATTTTTTTATTTTTGTGCAGACATGGATTCCCTATGTTGCTCAGGCTGGTGTCAAACTCCTGGGCTGAAGTGATCCTCCCACCTCAGCCTCCCAAAGTGGTGTTATTACAAGTATGAGCTACTGTGCCCAGTCCCACTGGGGTATTTTTCTGTGGTTCTCAAGGGTTGCCCACAGAAAGACAGACCACTTTGGACTCAGGAAATCTGGATGTACCAAGACTAAATCTATATTAACCTTCTGATCTACTGTCAGGATGGCAAAGTGTTTTATTTCTTGTGCCAATTCTGATCTAAAAATGTAAGGGATAAAAAAATATATATAAGGGATGAGATCAACTATTTGTAAATGTTGTCCAAGAAGCTGGTTTGCAGGTGTGTGGGTGCAAACCAGTCCATCACACTCAACATATAGAACAAATGCTTTTTAAATCACTATTCTAGAAAAATTTTGACCCAGAAAAAGGAAAAGATATGTCCAATATTGATGGGGACAATGCCTCATAATGTTAAAAAAAAAAAAAATTGAGACATAGTCTTACTCTGTTGCCCAGGCTCAGTGCAGCAACGTGATTTCAGCTCACTGCAACCTCCACCTCCCCAGGTTCAAGCGTTTCACCTGCTTCAGCCTCCCAAGTAGCTGGGATTACAGCTACGTGCCACCACACTCAGCTAATTTCTTATTTTTAGTAGAGATGGGGTTTCGCCATGTTGCCCAGGCTAGTCTCAAACTCCTAACCTCAGGTGATCCTGCCAACATCAGCCTCCCAAAGTGCTTGGATTACAAGCGTGAGCCACCACGCCCCGCTGTAAAATTATAAAATACCAGGAAAAAGCAATGAAGGCAATGCCCCCAAAACTGCTTATTGAAATGGCCTTGAGGTAATTTTGCGAGTGTTACCATGAATAGTCAAAAGAGTCTAAATATACTTGCTATTATTCATAAAGATACAATGTTGGAGAGAAGAACTAACCTTATAGATAAGTAGCCATATTTTCTAGATAAAAAGATTTATGACTTGACAAGAGACTTTTCATATGGCTGTAGGTATAACAGGGAATCTAGGAGATATAATTTGGATGCCAAAATGTTACAGTTCCTGGAATCTTTCCTTGCATCAGTGAGATAACAGGACAGAATATTTTTGAGTAGGATCTGTCCTGGAAAATCTAAAATGTACAGCAATAGATTATTTCTATTAAATTGTCACACACTGTCAATGACAGTATAAATTGGCATCTCTCTGCCGAAATATAGTATAGCAAGAGGGTACTCATCCATCCATTCATTCACCAATTATCAAATGAGTTGCATACTGTGTGCCAGACCTAGTTCTAGGACCTGAACATATAACAGTTAACAAACAAGTAAAATGACTTAACCTCACAGAGCTTAGTGATAGAGCTAATTATAACCATTGACTCAGCAATTCCTATTCTAGAAAGTAATCATAGGCCGGGCGCGGTGGCTCAAGCCTGTAATCCCAGCACTTTGGGAGGCCGAGACGGGCGGATCACGAGGTCAGGAGATCGAGACCATCCTGGCTAACACGGTGAAACCCCGTCTCTCCTAAAAAAAAATACAAAAAACTAGCCGGGTGAGGTGGCGGGCGCCTGTAGTCCCAGCTACTTGGGAGGCTGAGGCAGGAGAATGGCGTGAACCCGGGAGGAGGAGCTTGCAGTGAGCTGAGATCCGGCCACTGCACTCCACCCTGGGTGACAGAGCAAGACTCCGTCTCAAAAAAAAAAAAAAAAAAGAAAGTAATCATAAAGAAATAATCATGAATGTACAAAATTATTTCATTACAAAGATGTACACCATGTTTAATTTTTTTCTTTTTCTTTTTTTATTTTTGAGACAGCGTCTCACTCTGTTGCCCAGGTTGGAGTGCAGTGGCGTGATCTCAGCTCACTACAACCTCTACCTCCAGGGTTCAAGCGATTCTTCTGCCTCAGCCTCCCAAGTAGCTGGGACTACAGGTGCATACCACCATACCTGGCTAATTTTTGTATTTTTAGTAGAGACAGGGTTTCATCATGCTGGCCAGGATGGTCTTGAACTCCTGACCTCGTGATCCACCTGCTTCAGCCTCCCAAAGTGCTGGGATTACAGGTGTGAGCCACTGCGCCCAGCCATTAAACGTTTAATAGTATGAAACTTAAAGTAGCCTAAATGTCCAGTAAAGCACGATACAGCTATATGAAACAATACCAGAAGGACATTAAGTGATGTTGTAAAAGAATATTTTGAACAAAAGAATAATGTCCCCAAGTTTTATTAAGTTCAAAAGCAGACTACAACTGCTAAGTGGCATGGGAGAGCTTCAAGGCATTGTTCTAAAACTAGATTGTGACACTGATTACACAAATATAGATTTTTATGAAAATGTATTGAACTGTACACTTAAAATAAATGAATGTAATTAGGTTCTCTTGTTGTTGTTGTTGTTATTTGAGACAGAGTCTTGCTCTGTTGCCCAGGCTAGAGTGCAGTGATATGTTCTCAGCTCACTGCAACCTCCGCCTCCTGGGTTCAAGCGATTCTCCTGCCTCAGCCTCCTGAGTAGCTGGGATTACAGGCACCCACCACCACGCCCGAGTTTTGTTTGTTTGTTTGTTTGTTTTGTGAGAAGGAGTCTCACCCTGTTGCCCAAGCTGGAGTGCAGTGGCACAATCTTGGCTCACTGCAAGCTCCACCTCCGGGGCTCAAGCGATTCTCCTGCCTCAGCCTCCCAAGTAGCTGGGACTACAGGCACACGCCACCACACCCGGCTAATTTTTTGTATTTTAGTAGAGATGGGGTTTCACCATGTTGGCCAGGATGGTCTCGATCTCCTGACCTTGTGATCCACTCACCTCGGCCTCTGAAAGTGCTGGGATTACAGGCGTGAGCCACCACACCTGGCCTAATTTTTGTACTTTTAATAGAGATAGGGTTTCACCATCTTGGTCTGGCTGATCTCGAATTCCTGACTTCGTGATCCACCCGCCTCAGTCTCCCAAAGTGCTGGGATTACAGGAGTGAGCCACCGGGCCCAGCCGGATAAATGTAATTGTTTAAAAAAAAAAAGGCACAAAGCATTTTGTTGTGAAACTATTTTAATGTAAAGTCACTTGTATAACTAAATTAGAAAGAAAAGACAGAGATGATATAAGCCAAAGCGTTAATGAGTCAAATTAATGGTGGGAAGAAGTATTTTCTTTTTTCTTATCAATATCTTCTAATGTTCTATAATAAAAAATTTATTTTGCAATAAGAAAACATAGGCCAGGTGCAGTGGCTCACATCTGTAATCCCAGCACTTGGGGAGGCTGAGGCAGACGGATTGCTTAAGACCAGGAGTTCGAGGCCAGCCTGGGCAACATGGCGAAACACTGTCTCCACAAAAAATGCAAAAATTATCCGGGTATGGGGACACAAACCTCTAGTTCCAGCTTCTCCGTTGGCTGATGTGGGAGAATCACTTCAGCCTGGGAGGCAGAGGTTGCAGTGAGCTGTGATGGTGCCACTGTACTCCAGCCTGCGTGACAGAGCGATGCCCTATCTCAAAGAAAAAAAAGGAGAAGAAGAAAAGAAGATAAATAAATAAATAAATAAATAATGTTTTAAAATCAAAGTTGTTGGCCAGGCCCAGTGGCTCACGCCTATAATCCCAGCACTTTTGGAGGCCA